CTACTTTCAAGAAGTTGATGAGTTACGTGGTTTCCCCACGATGACTTTAAGTAATAGATGTTGGGTTTCGTAGTGTCCGACCTACGCGGAATGAAACCCTCCCAAAATCCGCACACAAATTAAAGTAACTGAACATGCATATTAATTAACAATAACATAATTAATTAGCAAAGAGAGAGAAAGAAAAGAAGATCATACCCTTGATGTGTGCTTTGCTCTTTCTTAGAGCTCGTACTTGAATGCATAGAGCTTCGCAAATGCGCAAGCCTCCAACGACTCTCACCCTCGAGACCCAACCTGAATGGCCCCTACCCCGAAGCTTAGTCGGGGCTTGACCAAAAGTACTTAGAGTATTAGAACAAAAGAGTTCTCAATTGTGGAGATCCTTTAAAGTTCACAACTCAAGTGACCTTTCCCAACGCCAAATGATTGGTATTCACAGGGAAAGGAGCCCTTGAATTCCAATCTCCCATCAATGTGGGAGAGTTGGTAAAAAGGCATTTATTCAATTTAATTTAATTCTAAAATCAAATTAAAATGCAAATAAATCGACAAACAACAAGTGTCAAGTGCAGAGCAATGGGTGAGGACCATAAGGGGGGGACCACCCTCCCCTTGCTCCCTAAGCAAACCCCACACACAAACCGGCTCCCACACGCACAAGCCAACCAACGCACGCCAGTTGGCGCTAGGCCTTGCGCACCAAGGCACACCCATCTGGTGGCCTGGTTCTTGGCTGTGTTGCCAGCATGGCTGCGTGTGCGAGCAGCCTAGCGAGCATGCCACGCATGCATGCGGGCTGCTTCCAGGCATGCTAGGCGCATATACCGCAAGCACAGCTTGCGAGCTGCTGCTGTTGTGCTGCTATCGCTAGCATTCCCTAGCTAGTTGCTGCTTCGATGCTTGTGCTAGGCACAACCCAGCACGCACAGCCCATAGCACACACACGCATAGTGTGCTGCTACTATTGATGCGATGCTCGTGCTAGGCGTAGCCCAGCACACTACTGCCTCGCGCGCAATGCCCAACTAGCATGTGCTACTGGCCTTGTTTGCGATGGTGCGGACTGGCTACTGCCATGCCTAGCATGTGCGATTGGCCCTTTGCAAGCCTTGCCTTGCACGCATGGCTGGCTTTGACTAGCCATGCTAGCCATCCTAGCCCTCGATTGGCTAGTCCACTTCGAGGCTAGGATTTTCTCGTGCGATGACTTGTTGTTTGCTTGATTTCTCGTCTCGTCGATTCCTAAATTCGACTCGACTTATGACGCTCGGTTTCCGGCACTTTAAGCTCAGTATTCGATGTCTATGTCCATAATACTCTAATGACTCATTTAATCCTTCAATTTAATTCGTCGTTTCGGTTCGGTTACTCGATTGGGTGTGACTCGAAGGGTTAAGTCGAGATTAAGCTATATTATTAATTATGCATTAATATTACTGATCAGAAGTGGCCTTCAACTAGGCATTTTGATCACTTGACCTCACTGAATAATTAGCTTTCTAATAATTCCGAACCCTCTGTTGGAATAACACACTTGTTCGAAGGACACCATTCCTTTCAATCTCCCACTTGTCCTTCCGGACAAGTGCGCTGTTAGTGTATAGCCTATTTCCTATGTCACTTAATGTCTCTTCGTGAACTATAAGGTAAGTTTATTCGTCATCCTTATTACTTCTAGAAGTGTTTCTCGATTTTCGAGTTCGACTGTCAATAAGCAGATGATTTCTAAAATCCATCTGAGCACGGCCATGCATTTTCACAGTCTCGCTCTTCGAGAGGCCTTGTAAACAACAAAGACATGTTCCCTATTGTTAATAGGGGGACGTTTTCAGTCTTGCATTGTTAGCTTCCCTTACTAAGAGGACCTAGCCGCCCGAGTGTTACCGTTATAATCCCCATGTGCGGTAGACGTTTGACAACATCAAAACAAACTAGTACTAAAAAAAGAGAACTTACAATACTCATGGTCGAGGAAAGAGGTTCCGATAGCTATAATTAGAAATATACTTATGACGATTTTAAATCTCTTAAAGTATTCTCATAGGTCAATTCGATATAGTTCCAAACAAATACATGCGCAAATGATTTATGACAATCATGTTCTTGTAGCACAAGAAACGGTGCTATAAATCATACTACACACTAATCTCAAGTGGTCATTAGTCGTCCGACATTTAAATTACCTTGATCAGGGATAATTTTTGATTAAAATATTCAATGTTCACTTAATAGGTGTTTCTTTATCCAAGACATTGTATTGATACCCTATTATGAATATTCTCAAAAATGGAATGGACTCATTATTTAATTCTAAACCACAATTTAATAGAAATGGAGTGATAATAATTTGTAGAAAACTAAATTACTCCAAAACCGAATGGTTCAACATAGTGTTTTACATCAAAATCCTCAAAATTAATTAAAACACATGAACAGGGAAATCAAAGGAAATCTCCAACGTGCCTGATTCCCATTCCCTCAACGTGCTTGTTGTGTTTCACTTGAGGCAAAGGTTTAGTGAGTGGATTGGCTACATTGTCGTCCGTTCCAATCTTACGAATTCTGATTTCACCCTCGGACTTCCATTCCCTTATCATGTGGAATCGCCTCTTGACATGTTTGACCTTCTGATGTTCCCTTGGCTCCTTGGCCTGAGCAATAGCTCCATTTTTATCACAATAGAGATCTATCGGACCCTTGATTGAGGATACAACATAAAGTTCACTAACGAACTTACGAATCCAAACTGCCTCCTTAGCTGCTTCTGAAGCTGCCAAGTATTCGGCTTCAGTCGTAGATTCTGCAGTTGTGCTTTGCTTAGCACTCTTCCAACTAAATGCTCCTCCATTTAGACAGAATATGTACCCTGATTGCGACTTGAAGTCGTCTCTGTCAGTCTGGAAGCTTGTGTCGGTGTAACCTTTAACAATCAAATCATTACTCCCACCATAGACCATAAATTTATCCTTGTTCCTTTTCAGGTACTTTAGGATATTCTTAGCCGCAGTCCAATGCACCTCTCCTAGGTCTGATTGTTATCGGCTCGTAGCACTCAAGGCATACGATACATCCGGCTTAGTACATATCATGGCATACATGATTGATCTAATAAGCTAAGCATATGGAATCTGATTCATCCTCTCTCGCTCTTTCAGGTGTTTGTGGACACTACTTCTTGCTGAGAGTTATACCATGTGACATGGGTAGGTGCCATCTCTTGGCCTCCTGCATGTTGAATCATGTCAGTACCTTATCAATGTAAGTACTTTGGCTCAATCCATTCATCTTCTTAGATCTATCCCAATAGATCTTGAAACCGGTAACTCGAGGGGCAGCCCCCAAATACTCTAGAACAAGATAGAGTTTTTAACTTGTTGGTAAAGAGCAATATTTACCTCAACAATATAAAACTAACTTTTTCTTTCTTTTTACCATTCCCTCTATTTTAAAATAAATACCCTATTTTAACCGGTCACATATGTCATTGTAGAATAACTTTGGCCTACTACACTTTAAATTATCAATAGCATAATTTATAAAAAGTTGAAACATTAAAAAATAATATAGATATTAAATCGATTTTAACAAATACTACTCCCTCCGTTTTTTTTTATTTGCATCACTTTTCTTTTATGGTTGTTTTTTTTATTTGCATCACATCTATATATGGTAACTTTATACTATATTTTATTATTTCTCTCTCTTACTTTAAACCCCACTCAAATTAATTTATCATTTTTTCTCTCATGGTCCCCACTACTCTTTCTCACATACTTTCACTTTCATGGTCCCCACATTACTTTTACCATAATAAATTATTCATCCACCCACATTATTATATTATACCAAATTCATTATCCTAAAACTCCGCACATTTAACAACAACAAATCAACATTTGCTCCGTTCTTCCAAAATAGACCAACCTTTAAATCTTCTCAAAATAAACACAAATTTTTATTTTTTCTCCTGTAGCAAACCAAGCAGGTCACTTGACCTTTTAAACCAGGTTGCAATCCACGTGTCTTGTCCTCATTGGCTTTTTTTATAATATTTTTAATTTTTGAAAATTATGATAATTAGAAAAATTTATTTATTTTTATTTTTAAAATCTGATAATTAAAAAAATAAATAAATAAAAACACCCTCTTTATCCCACCATTAGCGCCCAACACATCATGATTTGAACTTGACCCTGGTTGATTCAAGGAACCACCAGGAGGCAGCAATGGAAGCAATGAGGCTCGATTAAAAGCAGGATTTGAACCAAACTTTGAGATAGGTTCTTTGGGTGAAATTGAATTTGCTTGGTTCTGATTTTGTTATTGTAGGGGAGTTCGTTGCGAGTTGAGGTGTTGCTAGCCGGCGACAGGTGACGGGTCAGAGTGAGATGAGGGAGGTTAAAGCGTTGATTATGTGGGCTATCGCGTGGCTGCAATATTGATGCGGTATTGGTGTGAAAGATGCGTCTGACTGATGGTGTTGTTGGGTGTGATTTGTGGCGATTTTGGGCTGTGGCTAGAGAAGGAGGGTGTGGTGAATGGTGCTAAGGCAGGGGATGTGGACTGTTGCGGCAGGTTGGAGGTGATTGGTGGATAATTGAGGGGTCAATTGTGGTGTAGGGGGGTGGTTTCGAGAAGGTTGTTTAGGGTTCGAGGGTGGGGTCGCCAGCGCCTGGGGTGGGTTGGGCACCAGCCGCCGGAAGACGGAGGGAGGAAGGGTGACTGGCAGTGAGGTCAGGGGAGGAGGGGCTGGCAGCGGATTGGGGGTTTGAGTTTTTTTTTAATTATTTATTTTATTTTATTTTATTAATTTAAAAAAGATAATTAAAGAAAAATAGAAAAGTGACCGTTTATTCAGGTCACAAGTCATTTGAGTTTACTAAGAGAGACAAAATACAAACTTGTGTTTATTTTGAGAAGATTTAAAATTTGATCCATTTTTGGAGAACGGAGCAAAGGTTGGTTTGATGTTGTTAAATTTTCCATAAAAAAAAACGAAGGGAGTACATGACTATATTGGTCAAAGTGAATGTCTAAAAAGTGAAATTGATACATTTATTGTGAAAGTGATGGATTGATTAAAAAATTTTATTTTATTTTATTTTATTTTATTTTTTTTTATTGAAATGTGATGTAGTTTCCACGAATTATATTGGGCCGAGCAGCGCTGAAGATGAGTCAATTATGATAATCCTGAGCCCACTTGGCGAAAGGCTTTCTGAAACTGCGATTAAGGCAATAAGATAAGGCGCAATCACTAGAGGTGGAAAACATACACTCCATATCAAAGAGAAGAGAAACTCACAGAAATACATTGGAAGAATGTCTGTGTCCGCCATTTTTGGTACCAGAATCGCAGCAATCCCATCCAGCGGCGGTGTTGGTGGTGGAAATGCGGTGAAACTGCAACCATCAAACGGCGGCGTAATGATAATAGAATGTTCATCAAGGCCACAGAAGAAGGGAACTGCTCACCACATGAAGACCAGACCTAAGAAGACTGCTGCTTGGGAATTACGACGTCGTCCTGCTGTTTATCCTCCTCTCCCTCCTCTTCCTGCTGAGTGGACCATCGTTTCTTCTGCTTCTGAGGAAGTTGATTCTTCGTCTTCTACTGCTACTACGTCTACTGAGACTCAGACTCAGTAATTACTTTCGCTTTATGTTGATTTTGTTTTGAGTGTTTTTTTTTAGTATGCCTGTCAACTGTTTGATGAAATGTTTGTGTAAACTTTGTTGTTATGCTTTATGCAAAGAGATTTTGTAATTTGAATTTTATTTGGTAATTACGGTAATTATAAGTTTTAATTAGTGTTGTATTATCATTTATCAGTGGATTACTTGAGATTAGTACTTAAACTGGTTAAGGTGTCTACTATTAGACAGAGGTTGCAAATGGCTGAAACTTCAGTTTGAATTTGGTTCAGTACATTCAACCTGAAATTAAATTTATTTTTGGATTTTGAATCTAATCTAATCCAAAATTCCACCAAATTCAAATTAAATTTAAATAACTTTCTTTTTTTTTTTTTTTTTTTTTTTTGAATAGAAATGATTTAATCGGAATTAGTTATACGTAATACAGTAGATTGGATTTCTGTGGATTAAATATGTATAACTAGAGTTACACTATTTGATGGGTCAACCGTTTTGGGTTTTGGTTTGGCCATGTATGAAACACTATTGCTGACTGCTGAGTATTGCTCTATGTTTTTGTCTGTTTGTTTTAACTCATTTTATCCAATATCAAACAAAGTAATGAGCAGAACGAAGTATAGATTATATATTAACAGGATCAAATTATTGGATTAATTACTTAGGGCATAAACGAATTTGTCTTGACTAGTATATAACAGGATCAAATTATTATAAACTAATTTGTCTTGACTAGAATCATCAATGTTGACCCAATTTTAGAAATAGAGCCATAATCGACAATTATTCGATCAAATTAAGAAATGAGGCTCCAAAACTAACCTAAAATTGTATGATGTAAAGTGAATTCAATATCTGAACATAATATGTGACCAAACAATGGAAACCAAACACCTGCTCAATAACTATTAAGCAAAGCAAAATCACACCCTACTCAATATGATTTGACTTGAATAAGCCTGATATATGATTTGACTCAACCCATTATGGTTCCAACTCAAGTCAAACTGAATTCATGTCGCATTTTTATTGGTCTGACTAAAACCAACTTCATACCTAAAATCAATTTGACTTTAATCAAACTAATGCCCAATATGAACTTGACTTAAGATATATCGAAGTTCAATTCATCTACACAAATACTCCAAATCCCGTTAACTAGAATTGTTATTGTACTAACCTATATAAGCTCGATTAAATTCATCATTCTAATTTTGAACAACCAAAATCATAACCTATCTTATTGGCACACTCAAAAACATAATTATGTTACTTCTATATCAATGTAACGTTTAACATGGTCAATTATATTATGGTCTTTGAACGATTATCATTGAACAAAGTTTGAACACAATGTTATATGCTTTTATTTCTCAAATCCTAAGTTTCTCAAAGCACCACAGGAATATAATCGAACATAATTAACAGAGAAGTCATAGCACCAGAACATGAATAAAAAGGAACACGGCTCCAACCATCCAAAAAGCATCCTAAACAAATGTAAATGGCAAAGTCCTCAATCAATTGATCGATTAAAGAGAACACATGACAGACACTGATAACGTACTCCATAACAAGCCACCAAGGGGCAAAAGCTGAGTATATGCAGCTGCCAGAAAACGAATAATATTCAAATAAAATGCTGATCTGTGATAGTGCAGGGCAAGAGAGTCTGGGAGAGAATTTGTGGAACACTCAACTCCAAGATCAAGTTAATTGTAGTCCAACATAAGTACTATACATAACAAGAATAAAATCAATCAACAGTTGAAAAGGTTCACTTTTTATTTCATTACCAGAGATGCAGCAAAACTTTGTACAAGGGTCGGCCTGTTCTTTACATGGCAAGGAACTCAGCTTGAGAGCAGGAGGATAAAACTAAAAATTAGAAAGGGATACAGCCAAGGATAGATGTTCATCATTATTCGATGGGTTGCTGTACTTTGATAGCTTGGTTCAGCTTGCGCTCATAGCAGTCTGTAATTACAAGTGATTGGCGGCTGAAAGGAGCACCAGTCATTGGTTATACGCCTTCAATGACAAAGAACCACACAATAGTTAGCTGTACAAATCCCCCCTTGTCAAATCCAAGCAGTTCTTGTGAATGCTTGCTACAGAAATACGACCTTCGATCTTCCTCTTTCACAGGAGTCTCTTCTGAAAACACAATTATGCTGTTTTCGAAAAGATTTGATTGTTCTAAAGTTCAAGGACTTTACCGTCCAGTTGTTAGATGATTATTATATTTATTCCTCTTGACCACATTTAGTAGGAAGTCCGTAAATATATGCTCGTATTCTGGCATTTTCCCGTAACCTGTATAAACCATACATATACAAAGTGAAAACAAGTTTTCCACAGCATTTAATATCTTTTGCATTGTCTTTATTCAATTTTTTCTTCTACTTTTTCTTAGCCATACTCCGTACTTCTGTATCTTAATTTAAAGATAGCCGTGGGGCATATTGTGATATTGGTACCAAATAGAAAAAAAATGAAATATGATCCAACCACACTTCTCAAAAGATAAGACGAACATCAGGATGTGTAAAGAAAACTATGTACCAAAAAGGTTATCATTTGTCAATAAGAAATGCATTTTTGCAGTGCAAAGATGAGTCAGCTTACCAGGAAAGTAGTTGATATCAATAACATAAAAGTTATTGCGGGTCCCATATTCGCGTATCATGTCTAAATTGAACAGCTGGAGACCCTGGAAGAATGCAAGAAATGATGCAAGAGTAAGTTCCTGATAAATCACTTAGATGGTGTAAAGAAACTAGGAAGTACAAAACACTGTTGAGCACTAATTACCAGTCGTCGACGTAGTTCTCTGGCTAGTTTTTCCAGTAAAGGTCTAGGGGGTAGTTCTGCAAGAAGATAAAAAAATAAATAAATATATAAATAAAAATACAAGGTTATGATTAAGGAGGGAAATTTTCTTATGAAAGCAGCAACGGATTGACAAAGTTGCATAAGAAGATCACTTAGAGTCTTTACCAGCAACATCAGGATCCAGATCTGCATCATCTGCTGAGGCTACAGCACAAGACACTCTTGGAAAACGGTACACACCACTGGTTCTAGACAATTGACGTTTACTAACATTGGGTAGAGAGAATCGCCTCACGACTTTTATAGCTTCTCCAACTATAAAAACTTTGAATAAAACACCACCTAATTGCATCAAATCCATTGGACACTGTCAGAACTCAGAAACAAATTACTAGGGAATAAAACTATAATTAAATTAGGTAGTAAAGATTAAAGAAATTACCATGATTCACAAACTCCTGTAATACGAGCGGTGGTTCAAGTTTCTGAAGAGAATACTGATCATATGCGAGTGATAGCTCATGTGACTTTGCACTCCCATCCGAAACTAAGGGCTTTGCAACTGAAATGATGTCATTTATGGTCATTTATTGGGAAGAGACAAAAGGTATTACTTAAAATGTGTGTTGAGTTCCTTGTTCATTTTCCATTATTTTGTTTTAGTGTGTTATGGGGAACGATATACAAATCATTCTGTCAATTATGCATGTCTCAATAAACATAAGAAAAGCCATAACTGCAAAAATTTCAGTAGCATTATCCTTATGATAATCATAGTTCCAATTACAAGTTTTATCTATGAAGTATACACAGATTGATAAACATACCAAGAGGAAGCCTCAGCCTTTCCTTGGCAACTTTAAGAGCAATGGATGAAGCATCCTTTTTTATAACCAATTGCTGGGGAACGTTAACATTTCCTGCACAATTTATCATCAAAAGTTTAGTTCATGCTTATAAATTATAAAATCCTGACCTAAGAATTATCACAAGGAACAATGTGGAATATAATCCATGATTTACATGACTTACCATAAGTGTCAGACAGATTCAAGTCAGCAACAACCTGTAGCATCGACTGCCGATTGTGTAGATGTTTTATGGCATCTGGTGGATCTAGGACAGTAACTTCAGGATGCGTTTGCCTGTAATCCTACACATACATAAGATACATATTAAGGGGTGTGAAGGGCAAAAACGTTACACAAGAAGTTTAAACCTACAATTGCATTTGATAGCAAAATCATGTTTAAACTATGAGATTATCATCCAGAAGCTCTAGCCTGAAGGATGGAGTCCATTAAAAATTTGAAACAACTCTAGAATTACACAAAAAAGTGGATAGTACTACATCAATCAGAAGTATGCAACTTATATACAAGTTACCTTGATAAACAGAAACACATAATTATATAATAGAATCCATCAGAGGAAAAATATTTCTATGATCAAGACTCTAACTCCCAAGAAAATAAACATGGTTTAAACACACTCTATGATTTTATGCAAAGTTGTGAACCTCAAAATATCAAGTAAAAAAGGCCAAGGAAGAGGAAACATCCTCAGACCTCACTCACAGTTAAATTTGGGCTTCAGCCTGTCAATACCAGGTCATGGTTGGAAGCGGATGAAGGGGACTCTGCAATTTATATCACATAGGGTAATGTTTCAAGCAAGTAGAGATGTATTTTATCACAAGGCACCATCAGACAAAGTGAGCATCTCCTGAAGAGTGAGGTAGCATAAAGATACATCTAAATTTTTTCAAATAAATTATAGCATGGGACATAAATGAAACATACAATAAGGCAATGAACTTGATCATAAACATTAAGATGATGACAAGATCAGACAATATCACTAACCTCAAGAACTTGCTGCCAGTCCTTTCCAGACAACTGCAACAAAATTATATGGGAGACAAATGCATTAGGTATCGTAAAAAGTGTCAATATGTCCATTCTCTCACATATATCTGAGGAAAGGGCTAAATCTCGGAGAATGGCAAAAATGCATATATCTATTTACCTTGTGCAATACAATGTCAAATGGGCCTTGTTCGGAAAGTGGTTTGTCTTGATCAATAGCAACAAATACAATTCCCTTAAGTCTGCAGACATTTGATATAGATTAATGCCATATTACAGGAAACAGAAGTAATCAGAAGGTACGTGTTATATATCATTTAGGCATGGCATGAACATCAGTATATTACAGACAAGACCCAGCACTGGCATCTAGAACTTGAGCTGAAATAAAAATGACGAGATGATTATCTAGGAGCCATTAAGGTAACAAAAAATGCTCTAATATATAATAAAACAATGAAAAAAATTTAAATTCAATAACGAAACTTTTGGAAATGTCAACAGCTGCCTTGTGACATATGTGAGCCAAGTAAGGAATAATTAACTTTACAAACACTTAATAATTAACAAAAGGGAGCTACATAGACACAATTACAACTTCTTTCTATATTGCAATCAAAATAAGTCTTTAGCTACTCTCTTCAAACCTTATGTCACTCTAATTAAAAGCATGATATTTAAGTAGCCTTAGAAGGGGCACACCACAGAAAAATAAACTATTTTTCCCATAGTGTATAAACAATTTTAAATAAGAGTGGACAGGGTATCGTTTTTGCATTAGGTATCAAGCATAGTAGAAGCAACACTTTTCATCATATAGATCTTAATCAAAGGAAAAGGCAAACTTACATTCTCCAACAAATGGGCACATTGTCTTTCGCTAACAGGAACAAGGTTAAGGTTATTATTCGACAACATAATTACTTAATTAGTCGATTCGAGACTAATCTGTTGAAATGACATATTGACATGTATCGAGAACACGGACAAATCAAGGACATTACTTGAATTCCCAAACTCCACCAAGCTAAAGCACTAATCAATAACAAAAAGCGAGGTCCAAAAGCATGTTGACAGATTATTAGAGAATCCACCTATATATTTTGCTAATGAAGCCAAAAACCCCCTTCAAAGATAAGGGAAAAAAAATGTAAAAGACTGATCGGATTACTGATTATCTGGCAAAAACATATCTCTTCAAAAAAACATTGACCCAAATCTGGCGAAAATCCACACAATTACTTCGTTTTTATATTGTAACAAGAGATTCTCAGGGTCGTGTAGTTAATGATTTTATAATATTTTGATATGATCACAAAATCTGGCCCACAAAGTACAAACAAATTAAGAAACTATTAGACTTTTCTTATAAAAAAAAAAAACCAAGAAAGCACGGGAATGTGCAAGTGGATGAGAACAAAGAGCTAATTAGATACCAGAATAATTTAAGAATCCAAATGGCTCTTCACAATCCTCATTACTCAAAATATCACAAAATTAGTTGTCACATTACTAGCTCAGATTACACTCCACAATCATTATCACGAAATTAGTAGTCGCATTACTAGCTCAAATTACACTCCGCAATCAATGTCATGATTTAATTGCGACATTACTAGTTCAAATTACACCGTCATTTTGAGGTATGACTATCAATTGTGATTCCGACTGAGGATAATATAATGTTAAATTAAGGGAGTACCACATATCAAACGATTGTAACAGCTTCAACCCAGATTCCACTGACACAGTTTACATTAGGAAATCATGCTTTCCAACCATTTTTTATATAATCAAATGCAAAGATAACAGAATAAAAGCCAAGCTCAATTTGTCGGCTGAATATGCATTCATGATCTGTAACAAACACATAATAAAATTATTTAATCCTACAAAACTAAAATCTCAATAACCTTGTAATATCAGCCTCAATCAACCAATCTAAAATCAGACAATTAGCTGTTTCGTAGTTTATATGAATTAAAAGCCGACATCTCAATAAACATCGGCAATTTCTACTGTACATTCGGTTGTCCCAAATAAAAGCAATACGATAACACAAATGGCTAAAGTTTTTCGCTATACCTATGTATCAAATCCCGTTTATATCATCAGTCTTTCGTGGCTCTTTCTACGACAACACAAAAGACAAAAACTATAAATATTTTCCAGAAATTAACCCATTTCAAATATGAAAAACAACATGTGAGCACAAAAAAGGGAAAAAATCAAAAGAAAGAAGACTCAACCGCCCACCAGAAAAAATGGATCTCACGAGACATGCAACTATCAAAAATCAAAATTCAAGAATTATAAAATCAAACAAAATATTAATATTGATTAATGGGGTAGCTTAATTTTCAAACAAATAAAAAAAAAAAATTAAGTTTATAATTATATTTACCTAGCAAGACCTTCAAACTTTGGTTGTAAAAAACTCTTCCTCTTTTTGGACGTAAGAGCGAAACCAACTACGAGTTTAATAGGTTCAATTAATCCTTCATTTAACACTTTCTTAATCGTCTTCGTTTCGTCGTCTTCGTCCACCATTGTTGTATCTCTGTTTTCCTCCATTAACCTCAACATCCTCATATTTTCCACCACCATATTATATATACCCAGAAATTCAAATTTATTGACAAATTATGTTTGTTTGGTAGATTAATAATAATATTCTGTAGTTTAAATTTGAGAAATGATAAGGAAAATGAAATGGGTCGTTGTGATTTTTTTTCTCCAAAATCGGAGGATTTAAATGTGAAATTAATATAAATGGAAAATGAATAGAGATGGGTGTGAGAGAAGGGAAGGGGTTTATTTATAGAGGGAGTGGTGGGGAGTTCGAACAAAACAAAAGCTTAGCTGTAACACCTTACATTTATGTTTTGGACTGTCCACGTAACCCTTAATAGTGTGTAGTTTTGGCGTTCGTTCTTTTCGCCTCATTTTGGAAGGGCTTGATTTGAATAGTCTTGTTATTTTCATGTTAATACTTCTTTAGAAATGATTTGGTTTTCATTGCCAAAAAAAAAAAATGAAAAAATGATTTGGTTTAAATTTCAGTGAAGTAATTTGGTTTGAATTGTAAGGTCTACTTTCTTTATGTCTTGTAAAAATAAAAAGGAAAATGATAAACATAGTTTTTAGGACTATGTATAAGAAGCTAAAAAAACGAAAATATTAAAGATAAATTAACATTAATTATACCGATCTGTGCGTAATTTTGTCATAAATCTCCAACTTAATTCCATTTAAAGAAAAATATTAATGTTCATATATAGTGTTAAGGGCTACATATATCATTACCCATTTATAAATTATAATTTAATGCATTAATTTTACCTCTATATGTCATATTTTTACATATTAGTAATAATACATGGTCAAAAAAATTACGGAGTAGTATGAAAATATAGAGTAAAAAGTCATTATGATGCAACGAGTAAATATATTATGGAGTATAATATGATTCTGAAAACTACAAGTAATAAGAGAACGGTGAAGAGGAATATAGCCTGAATATGAGTTCATATCAGTTTTCAACAGAAATTATTTGTCACTCCACAATACTTTTCTTGTTCGCGACAACCTTTTTTCTTACTAACATATTCATTTAATTTGAAAGGAAGAGGACCGGAGCTAACAAGTCAATCAATTAGAAAGCAATATCGGTATAACTTTTTTCACTCTATATGCTGCTACGCGTGCATGGCATGTATAGTGAGAAGTGTAGAAGATCAAACAAAATGTTGAGTAGTACAATTTATAAGCTATGATCAGTTCACTTGATCTTATTTCTGAATTTGATAGCACTTTAGCCTTATTTGTACGAGCTGGCCACAAAGGCTGTTACTCAAATGGCAATGTAGTAAATATTTACCTTGAAAATGACAAATAATAATATTTTAAAGCACTGATTTAGGAGAGAGAAAGCAAAAGTCAGGAGAGAGAAAGCAAAAGCAATTGAAAGAAAGTGAAGAACCACGATCGGCAAAGCTACGACATACGATCGGAGAACCATGACCGGCGTACGGTTCAGCAAGAAACCCAACAAAGGAACATCGGAGTCTCCGTCATGGTCTTCTTCCTCCTAAGTCGTCGGATCTTCATCATCATCTTCTTCCTCCGCAACCATTTTCGGCGGCTTCGCAGTCAAATTAAACGAAAACCCTAAGAACAAATGGAGAAAAAAATGGCAAGGTAAACTCCAAATTAAATGATAGAGTGTTGTCTTCTTCCATTAAATTTCGCCATTGAAACTTGATTGTGAGCTCCATTAAAAATGGCATCCTCTAAACACCAAGAAAACCGGGTCGATCTGTTTCTACAATTAGCCTAGTACAAAAAAATTTCCCTATTTTGCCCTTACTAACCCCACCCGAAATTACCTGTGTGCCCTTTGAGTAACAATTCAAGTTACTTTTTATGCCCTAACTTCCTCCTCTTGATCTTCCACTAGAGAGACTGGTGAGGGGGAAGTTAGGGCGTCCGGCCAAAATCCGAGACAACGCCCTTCACAACATAACTGCTCGGTCAAGTCGTCCGAGTAGCAATCTTCTAAGAGGCCTCCTTCTACAATTGAAGCGGACTCTAGGTTTGGCAGGGGAAGGTTGTTCGGCCAGATTCCCAGACAATGCACAACCCAAACCACCAGCTCGGACAGGCCGATCGAGCTGCGTGTCTCTCATAGGCCTTCTTTTAACATTCGGGCAGACATTGTTGCTAATGCGTCCGCCCAAAACATTGATGGAGGGTCATCCCTTCATACCAGGCCGACAACTGCGGCCGACCTGCCTCCTCATCACAGTCCTCGTTGGGGAATTCAGACGGACCCTGAGGCAAGGAGAAGAGATAAGGGAAAGGGACCCTAGGTGTCGGAAGGCACCGTGCTGGCTAGGGCTCAGGAGGGCAGCCCGGCAGAAGCTACGGAGGAAAACACGATTCTGTCGTCTGAGTTCGGCTCGGTCAGGAACCCTAAGCCACAAGATGATGAAGAAGTTGCTGATGCTGCTGAGCAATCGACCGAGGGGGCCAAAGTTCATACCGAGGCGGTCGAATTTAATGACCCATTTGAAAGGAATGGTGTCCTTCAAACAAGTGTATTATTCCAATAGAGGGTTCAGAATTTATTAGGAAAGCTAATTATTCAGTGAAGTCAAGTGATCGGAATGCCTAACTGGAGGCCGCTTCCGATCAGTAAGATTATGCATAATTCATCATACAACTTGCTCTTGACTGAACCCTACGGGTCACACCCAATCGTGTAACTGAACAAAGGCGACGAATTAATTCAAACGATTAAATACGTCGACAAGGATTTTACGAACTTAGACGTCGGGTTCCGAGCTTAGAGCGTCGAAGCCGAGCGTCGATTCAATTCTAGGAATCGACGAGACGATAAATAAGTCAAACAACAAGTCAACGTGCATAGCCGTAGCCCCGCATTGGCCTAGCCATGCGAGGGCTAGGCTACTAAGAGCTGCTAGCCTGAGAGCGCTAGCTAGGCTGCAAGCCTAGTAACACTATGCGTGTGCTGGCTGGGGCTTGCTAGCCAAGCTTGCGTGTTAAAAGCACTAGCAAGGCCAGCCGCATAATAGCGTGCTGGGGCTCGCTAGCTGCTGCTGCCAGCAGTAAGGCGGCTACGCACAGCAGCTCGCATAGCCATGCGAGGCCAGCGTGTCCGGGCACCTGGCCATGGGCCGCTGGTAGGCCCAACCGAGGGACCAGGCCACCAGTAGGGCAGCCTTAGTGCCCAAGGCAGGCCACCAGCTGGCGCCATTTGGTTGGGGTCGGTTTACTGGAAGGGGATTTCTTGGGGAACAAGGGGAGCATGTGGTCCTCCCCCTGTGGTCCTCACCTACCCTCTCTCTTTAGTTGCCACTTGTTGTTTACTTATTGATTAACTTATTTAATTTAATTAAGCATTAATTGCTTATTTTCTTATTTTATCAAATCTCCGAAATGGAAAGTTGATTGAGGTTTTTGGGAGTGCTTTGCTTATAAATACCAACTTTGGGAGTTGGGAAATTTACACTTTGAGTTGAACTTAGTAAGACATCTCCCAAAAGCGTGAGAAGACCTTTAAGTTCCTAAAACTCAAGTTTTGGTTTAGCCTCGTCTAAGCTACGAGGTGGGAACCTTGTTTTGGCGCGTTGGTGTACAAAGTAGGAGGATTCGCGAGTGCGTGTCTTGAGTTTTTTGGGGGTCATGCTTGGGTTCGTGTGAAGCACGCGGCGAGGGTAAGAATGTCTTTTCCCTACTTTCTCTCTCTCCCTCTTTATGTGTTTATGGCTTTATTAATTGTATGTTTGTTTGTTTAGTTATGTTAGTTATGCATGCGGTCCGGGCAGGTTTTGATTCTGCACGGTGCTCACGCATCGTAAAACCCAACAGTGGTATCCAAACCAAGTTACATTTTTTTTTACAACTAAAAATTAGTTAAGGTGATTTAAAATGGATTTAAAAATCTAGATTAGCAACCCAATTAGATTAGGATCTCGGTTTTATTAGATAAAATCGTTTTATTGCTATTTTATGACTACAAACCCAGATTTCAACTCAAAAATACTGAATTTCGATGGAATCGATGTTCTAAATCAACCTTTATCCACAAAGTGATTAATGAAAGGCTTCCAGAGGCCAAAATCTGCCCAAAAATGTGTTTTTCGAAGGGTTTTTCGTTTAGAACGAAATTTTTTAAATCTTTAAACCTTGATTAATTATGAAATGCAATTGTTGGATTATGTGATTGATTATGGCATTAATCTACTGCAATTTTCTCCTTATTAAGCATATTTTTTTGATATGATTTGGTTGCGTAATTTGGATAGCTCTAAAATTTACGTAAACTTGAAAATTGATCAATCTTGCAATTAGATTGCTTGAAATGTATGAGTTTATGTTAAATATGATTTTTGAACCCTTAAAATACACTACTAGAAAATAGGCTATTCCGACGGACAGGTAATTCTGTGGAAAAACCGAAATTTCCGACGAATTCAAAAAATCTGTCAGAATTCCGTCGGAAATTTCGGACGGGAAATATAAATCCGTCGTGATATTTAATTTCCAACGGAATATTTCGTCGAAAAGTTAAATTTCCAACGGAAAATAAATCCGCCGAAAATTTCCGTCGGAATATTTAATAAAAAAATAATAATTCCCCTTTAACCCTATATCGGAGCGCCCTTTCCCCTCTATTTGTCCGCCTCTTTTTTCACTTTCCTCTTCTTTTTCTCTTTCCTCTTCTCCTTCTCTCTTCCGCCTCTTTCTTCCGCTTCTTCTCTTATTCTCTCTCCTCTAGTCCTTATCTCTGATTCTCTTTTCTCTATCCTGTTCTCTTTCCCCTTCTCCTTCCTCTGTTCTCTCATCCTCTTTTCCTTCCTTTATTCTCTCGTCCTCTTCCCTTCTCCCTCCTGTTCTCTTTCCTCTTCTCCTTCCTTTTTTCTCTCGTCCTCTTTTCCTTCCTCTATTCTCTCGTCCTCCTCTCTTTTCTCTCCTGTTCTCTTTCCTCTGTTTTCTCGTCCTCTTCTTCTTTCTCTTTTCTTTCATTCTCACAAAATCACACCTCACGCATGAAAACTCGAAGGTTTTTAATTTTTTAAAAAAGTAAGGTTTTTCATGTCAAATTCGACCATGAAAACTCTAGATCTAAAGTTTTCATGGTCGAATTTGACCTTTAAAACCAAATTCAAGCCAATTTTAGGGTTTTGTATTTTGGGGTTTTGTTGGTGAAATTCAAGTTATGTTCTTTTTTTCTTACTTATTTTTGGTTTTTGAGATTTTTTTAATTTTATGGTGATGTGTGGTTGAATTGCGGTGGCGCTGGACTAGTGGGTGGTTAGTATCTGGAAACTGCGGTGGTGATGGGTGGTTTGTGTTCGGGTAATTGTGGTGTAAATCAGGCTTAGAGTTTGTCGGTGGCGGTGGGTGGGTTAATTTG